TCTGGAGGGGCCTACGGGAGATCACCAACTACAAACCCAAAGCCCCCCCCTGTGCTGATGACCACAAGCTAGCTGACGATCTGAACTTATTTTTCAGTCGCTTTGATGCTGCCCCTGACACCTCTCCCTCCCCCACCCCCCACTACTCTAACGACCCACCCATCAGCCCTGCCCCCAGCCTAACAATAGCCGCTAAAGAGATTAAACAACTCTTCCTGAGGCTGCACCCCCGCAAAGCTCCTGGCCCGGACCACGTGTCTCCGGCCACTCTGAGACACTGCGCCAGTGAGCTTACTCCTGTGTTCACGGACATTTTCAACACCTCTCTGCAGTCCTGCCATGTCCCGGCCTGCTTCAAATCCTCCATCATTGTCCCCGTCCCGAAGAAGCCCAGGATCACAGGACTCAATGACTACAGACCTGTAGCACTTACGTCTGTCGTCATGAAGTCATTTGAACGCCTGGTTCTCTCCCATCTCAAGTCCCTCACCTCCCCCCTCCTGGACCCCCTGCAGTTCGCCTACAGAGCCAACAGATCTGTAGACGACGCCATTAACCTGGCCCTCCACCACATCCTACAGCACCTGGACTCCCCGGGGACCTACGCCAGGGTCCTGTTCGTGGACTTCAGCTCTGCCTTCAACACAATCCTGCCATCCCTGCTCCAGGACAAGCTCTCCCAGCTCAACGTGCCCGATTCCACCTGCAGGTGGATCACTGACTTCCTGACGGACAGGAAGCAGCGAGTGCGTCTGGGGAAGAATGTCTCGGACTCTCGGATTATAAATACAGGAGCCCCACAGGGCTGTGTTCTTTCTCCCCTGCTCTTCTCCCTGTACACCAACCACTGCACCTCCAGCCACGACTCCGTGAAGCTGATCAAGTTCGCGGACGACACCACCCTCATTGGACTCATCTCCAACAACGATGAGTCCGCCTACAGGAGGGAGGTGGACCGGCTGGTGTCCTGGTGCAGTGGTAACAACCTGGAGCTGAACGCCCAGAAGACAGTGGAGATGATTGTGGACTTCAGGAAGAGCACTGTCCCCCCGCCCCCACCCTCCGTGATGGACTCCCCCATCACCTCTGTGGAGTCCTTCCGTTTCCTGGGCACCACCATCACCCAGGACCTCAAGTGGGAGCCGACCATCAGCTCCCTCATCAAGAAGGCCCAGCAGAGGATGTACTTCCTGCGGCAGCTCAGGAAAGCCAAGCTGCCTGCACAGATGTTGGTGCAGTTCTACACGGCCATCATCGAGTCCATCCTCACCTCCTCCATCACCGTGTGGTTCGCTGGAGCCACAGTCAGGGACAAACAGAGACTACAGCGCATTGTGCGCTCTGCAGAGGAAGTGATCGGCCGCAGCCTTCCATCGCTGCAGGACCTGTACGTCGCCCGAGCTCGAGGCCGGGCTGGTCGTATCACAGCCGACCCCTCTCACCCTGCACATGGACTATTCCAACCACTCCCCTCAGGCAGGAGGCTGCGGTCCATCAGGACTAGAACCTCCCGCCACAAGAACAGTTTCTTCCCCTCTGCTGTTGGACTCTTGAACACTTCTTAACCTGTCCCCCCGCCCTTTATAAAGTCACTTTACTGCCCATCATACGTCACTTTACTTCACTGTACTGCTGTCACCTTACATTGTGTGCACCATGTGCACTTGTATATTGTAAATAGTAACTGTAACTCTATTTTAAATTTAAATTTATTCTTTAGAAGTGTTTTTTATTCTTATTTTTATTATCTCTTTTTGACTGTTGCACTGAGCCAAAGCAATTTCCAAGTCTGTGACCTCCCGTTACTTACGTTGGCAATAAAAATGATTCTGATTCTGATTCTGAGCCCCTCTGTGCACGTGCGTGAGACCCGGTGTGAGACCCACACACGCGTGTTTGGCGCAACGCATTATGAGAGATCATCCACTGCGCAGAACCGGGAGGACCAGACGATGCCCAAATACAGGCGAGTTTCCCATAGATCTTTGCGAGTTTCAGGCAACTTCCGCTAATCTTTCAGCCCCCATGCCGTCACAAAGCGCCACTGAGCACAACCATTCATTTGAATAGGGCGCCATCTTGGATCGCCGGGGCTTGGGTGAGAACCCTACAGGATTACACAGGAATCTCACGGGACTCCACGTGGCTTAGTTCACAGTGAATACACTCTGGCTCCAGCAAATAAGCAAGAATCTTCACAAAAATGCTAATTTTGTGCCGTGGCCAAGGACGATGGCGCCGGAGACCCAACATGCCTTGAGCCGTGACGTCGGTCCACGTGTATTCCTATGTTCAAAACACGCGGCACCGCCCCCACTCACCACACGGCACGGAAGGCGGGCCCACTGGATTTGAAGCCACTGCAGTGGGCGTGGTTTCTATATATTTAGCTTTACACTTGGCGACACATTTAGATTTAACATTTAGATTTAACATTTAGATTTAACATTTAGATTTAACATTTAGATTTAACATTTAGATATACACTCAAAAAAAGGATTTTTGGGTGTAGTAATATATACTAACTCAAAAGTAGTAGTTTCTACCTATAATATCAACTTTCAGCAAAAACTAGTTAAAAACATAAATATTTACACAGTATATTCAGGTAATTAATTAATTGAGTGGAAAGAGTACATCTTACAAGAGATTTGCTCGTACCATTTACATGATTTATTGTCATAGCACCAAAACCTGAAAAAATCAAGTAACTTTTAACTATTGGGTGAAGTAGTGACGCTACCCAGAATGCAATGCAGAGAAAAACATAAACTTCTGAAAAAATCTACATTTGAGCATTCATTTTGAGGGTGAATACAAAGCAAGTCTTAAAGAAAAATACGTGAGCAACATTTTGAACAAACAAATTTGACCAAATGAAAAAATTTAAATATATTTTTACCAACCATGATCGACATGGCCAAGTCAAAGTATGGCTTTACTTCCTGGGTTTGTCACTACATCAAATGTGTATTGTATGTGTGCCACAGAGTCTGTACACTGTACCACTTGTCGCTGAGCTCTTTTTGAATAATAAATATTATAACATCCTAATGATACAATTAAAGTGCAACAACCCAAAAAGCATGTAGATAATAATAATAAATTAAACAGAAAAATTAAGTAATATCTACTTATTCACTTCATAACAGAAAATGATATAAACAAGTATGATTTACCTAATATTTTAATATCTGATATTCCTATATGAAAATAATTACATAACATTTACATAATATCCTCACAAAGTTTAAGGTTAGTAGTAAGTACATTGTACTTGATACTGGCAAGTAAGTTATACTTGATATTCTATATAAGTTATATAGACTTGGAGATTCTTATCCATTCTTTTGTTTCCAGTAGGCTGGATTACTGCAATGGCCTGCTCACAGGTATCTCCAAACATGCAGTAAAACAGCTGCAGTATATTCAAAATGCTGCAGCCCGAGTCCTGACTAGAACCAGGAAGTACGACCACATTAGTCCGGTCCTCAGGTCTCTGCACTGGCTTCCCGTGGCCCAGAGGATAGACTTTAAAGCAGCTCTCCTGGTGTACAAGTCTCTCCATGGCCTTGCACCAAAGTACATCCATGATATGCTAGTCCCATATGAACCAGCCCGGACTCTGAGGAGCGCAGGGACGGGACTCCTGTTAGTGCCCAGAGTCAGGACTAGACAGGGGGAGGCTGCTTTTCAGATTTATGCAGCTAAAGTCTGGAACAGTCTTCCTGAGGATGTGAGACTGGCTGCCTCTCTGTCAATGTTCAAATCCATGTTAAAGACTTTTCTTTTTTCCTGTGCATACAACTAGAGAATTTTATCTTTTTAACACACCTTGTTATTTATTGTTGTAACTTTTTGTGTTTTTAACTATTTTATTGTTTTTAATTACTTGTGTGATTCTTATGTTTTTAAATTACTTATGTGATTTTAATGCTTTTTAATTACATATGTGTTTTTAATTGTATTTTAATGGTGATGATTTGTGCATTGTGTGGTGTGGACTGTGAGGCGCTTTGTGTTGCCCTGTGCAGGAAAAGCGCCCTATAAATAAAGATTGATTGATTGATTGATTGATTGATTGATATTACAGCATTAAAATGTACTTAGAAATGTTGAGTGCAAATACTTACAATGATTTTATTAAGTAAATTCTACAAGTCATTTCTTTGAGTGTAGATATAACATTTAGATATAGATATAATATTTAGATATAACATTTAACATTTAGATATAGATATAATATTTAGATATAGATATAACATTTAGATATAGATATAACATTTAGATTTAACATTTAGATTTAACATTTAGATTTAACATTTAGATTTAACATTTAGATTTAACATTTAGATTTAACATTTAGATTTAACATTTAGATATAGATATAACATTTAGATATAGATATAATATTTAGATATAACATTTAACATTTAGATATAGATATAATATTTAGATATAGATATGTCTTAAATGTGAGGAAAATGTGCTAAATGTGAGGAAAGTGAGCTAAATGTAGAAAAATGTTCAGCTAAAAAATTTTAACAGAATTTTTACAATCGGCACCCCATACTCAGAAACATCAAGTGGCTCACATTTAAAAAGGCCTATATCTGAGAGAAAATTAATATTCGAGCGCAAACTGGTCTATACTGAAACGTGCTTGAAATAGTGCCTGCAGCTTATTCGCACCCCACTGCACATAATTTCATTATCCAACAATTTATACAGTAGCCTAATTGGTTGTCGAGTAGAAACTTTCGAACATTCGCGAGAGCGGTATTCGGTGAGAGGTGGTGAGAGGCGGGGCCGTGTGGTTGTAGTGGAGGAGAGCGACACATGGGGAATCAATTGGAGCGAGCGCGCACTGGAGGACGGGACTGGACAGCACCCAGCTCCAGTGCGCACTTTTGCCGACTCCAAGATGCTACGCACTGTGCTCTTCGCGTGGAATCGTCTTTCACTTAAGATTTGAATGTGACTTGGACACTTCCACCACAATGGATTCAGAGAATGGGAGCGGGATAGACGCATTCAACGTGGTGCAGTTCAACGCGTCCTTGAGTTTGGATAATAGATATTCATCTGCGTCTATCGCCAGCATTGCCGCTCTCGTGAGTTTCCTCATTCTCTTTACCGTTGTTGGAAATGTATTGGTGGTGATAGCGGTGCTGACGAGCCGTGCGCTCAAACCGCCACAGAACCTGTTCCTGGTGTCTTTGGCCACAGCGGACATCCTGGTGGCCACTCTGGTCATGCCCTTCTCTTTGGCTAACGAGCTCATGGGCTACTGGTATTTTGGAAAAGTTTGGTGTGGGATTTACCTGGCTTTGGACGTTCTGTTTTGCACATCGTCCATCGTGCACCTGTGCGCCATCAGCCTGGACAGATACTGGTCCGTTACGCAGGCGGTTGAGTACAACTTAAAGCGGACTCCGCGGCGCGTAAAGTGCATTATCGTCATAGTGTGGCTCATCTCCGCCTTCATCTCGTCCCCGCCGCTCATGTCCATGGAAGTAGACAGTGACACCTCGCAGCCTCAGTGCGAGCTCAATGATGACACCTGGTACATTCTCTCCTCCAGCACCGCGTCCTTCTTCGCGCCTTGCCTCATCATGATTCTGGTCTATGTGCGCATCTACCAAGTGGCCAAAACACGGACCCGCAGTCTGTCTGGGAAGAAGCCCAGGCCAGATGCCCTGACACACACTGAGAACGGACTGAGCAAAGGCGAGAGAGGTGAGAACGGCCACTGCCAGTGTCCTCCCACGCCCACGCGCACAGTGACTATGGGGCCACAGACAGAGGACGGGGAGGTGGAGGAAAGCTCCTCATCGGAAGGTAAAGGTCAACACATGGCCCCGCTGCAGGAGCCGAGTGCCATCAAGAGCGCAAGGCACAACTCTGTATCCAAACAGTGCGCGCGCATCTCCCGCGTCAGCAACAAGTCCATGGACCTGTTCATGTCCCGCAGGAAGCGCCGCAGGAGCTCTGTGGCGCAGAAGAAAGTGTCCCAGGCCCGGGAGAAGAGGTTCACCTTCGTCCTGGCGGTGGTCATGGGGGTGTTTGTAGTGTGCTGGTTCCCCTTTTTCTTTAGTTACAGTTTGCGTGGAGTCTGCAGGGACTCGTGTAAGATTCCCGATCCTCTGTTTAAATTCTTCTTTTGGATTGGCTACTGTAACAGCTCCCTTAACCCTGCCATCTACACTATTTTCAACAGAGACTTCAGACATGCATTCCACAAAATACTGTGCAAGTCGTGCAAAAAGTCTTTTTAAATGTGACTTAACCACACCCTAAAGGAATATGTGATGTTTCCAAGTGTGTGTTACACAGAATATTGTCCAAGTCGTGTGGTTTGGTGATGGTGGCTCTCACCAGCTGTGCCCTGATAGGATTCCCTCTTCAGATTAATGATCAGCATACTTGTTATTTCTGCCATAATGATTTCTACGTGTCTGCCCATTGATCAAACTGTGGGCCATAGCCACATCAGCCTGTTCTTTGCCCCTGGGCAAAACATCACTTTCAGAAAGACCCCATTGGCTATATGCTGCTATATACGTGCAGGCCACATGTGCAATATGTATTTATGAGTTTTGAATTTTATTATGCTCAAGTTGTTCTTTCTGTGCTGCATATTGTTTTTAATGTACACTTGCAGCTCCACTGGTGCACTCAGCCTGGAGCTCTAGTGTAATAGGAAATGTGTAATAGCTCCAAAGTGTTTTCTATGAATGCTGAAAACCAGGGGCAGCATCAACCCACTATAGCTGAGCTACTGGAAGTCTAAAGGTTTTTTGATTATACAAAAAAAAAATATATATATATCTTAAAGTGCATAAAAGATTAATTAAATGAATATCCATTTTCCAAAATGAATACCGAATTAGTCATGAAAAATCTGTATCTAATCAAAGTAAATACAATCTCCTGTTTACATCAGTTCCAGTCCATTGTCTGCTGAAATAGAACAATTATTAGTTGGTAAATGATGAGTTGAAGGATTTGATGCTGTTTTTGGTAGGAAAGACTATAAAGTCTGTTATATCAGACTGATTCTCCACTGCCTGTTCACTGCTGCACCTTAAAACTATTACAAAAGGACAAAATGCTCCTCAAATAAACATGTTGTTTCAAATATGTTCACTTAAAGGCTTTTATTTTTATTTATTGACATTTGCTTGGTCTGAGCTGGGCTATGATACATGTATTGTCACCAATTGGAATCATTTAGCTGCAGTTACAGTTGCTGTTGAGACCCTGACCTTTAAGGACAGTGGATTTTATGTCCATCACTTGCTGTCTCAAAATCTAATCGTCCGTGCTCCCAGAGGGTGGAGCTAAGTGCAAACTGGATTTACAAACTAAGACTGCACTTGTTTTGAACATGAAGGAAAAAGACACATATGGTGTTGTTAAATCTACTGTTTAGAATGTTTTTAACATTTAGAATGCTGATATAGCTGGTACTTTCTTTCCAAATTAAAGTATGACATAAATATAGGTTTGTTTGTAACTGTAGTTTTAAGACTTTTACTCCATACCTCCTTTAATTTAACTAAAGTATTTCTATTCCTATCTCATATTTATGTAAACCTAAAAACATATTCCATCTCAGTGTTCAGGAAATTAAATTAACCAAAAAATATGAACTTTGAAATGGTTGTAACCCCTGACTCTGAGGGCAGTAAACAAACCTATTATTTGGGCTTTTGAAAATCCATAGATACGAATGAGTTATTACAGTATTCTAGCAAACAGACTGATTTTAGAGGAAAAGAGAACATTTCTTGACCTTAAATGGAGGTCAAAGTGTCACAGCTGAACATGACTTCAAAGTGAAAATCCAGGGAACATATGACTAATACTATTCTAGAGCCAAGGCTAAATAAGCGGCACAAACCAGGGAAGATATTTTTCTAAAGGATAATTAAGCACCTTTGTAGCTTCTCTTTCACAGTAGAAGATTCACCAAAACACCCGAGTGACACCGTACATCTGACTACGACAGGTTTCCATTGAGTCAATCAAGTGACTCTGAACATCATTTACATTTGCTGTAAAAAGCAAAATCTAGTGCCTGCCAATTATGTGGCATGACTTCAGAAGATGTAATTTCTACATTGCAATGTTCCCTTAAGTCTCATGGATAACTTATACAATTAGCAGCAAAATAATATTACTAGTTGTTTTATGCGTGCCAGTCTTGTTATGCCATGTCCCAGTCTAAAGCCTTAACCATTTCTGATAAATGCCTTAAATGACTGCTGAGATGGAAGTGAACATCCTCATTTCTGTGTAAACAGCCCATTCCTGCCTTCTGCCCCATGCACCATGTGGGACATCTCAGATATATTTCTGTGAAAGATGAAAGCGCTGGGGGAGTGGGGCAGTAGCACATCCGACTGACTTTAATTTTCTGTGAAAAACCAGATGCTGACTCTGAGGAAATAGCTGGATTTGGTGAGATTATGATTTTAAAATCCCAGTTTAAATCTTAACATCCCTTACACTTATGATATCAGATCGATAATATAATCCAAATAGTTTTGGAGATTACTGAATACTTACTGGGCGGATCAATATTAGAACTTATCCGTACAGTATTGCTATACCGTACTATGGCACAGTCAACCAACATTTCTTACACTATATGTAAGTATGGAGTCGAAGAAGAAAAAAACAAGTTTCCTCATTTGAAGGTCTGTTAAATGATTGGCTCATAGAGGCAATTTAGCATTGAAACTTATGGAAGTTGGGTCACTTCTCTAAAGAAGAACTAACTCCACCAAAACTCTGGTTCATCGAAGCCAGGCATGTCCAAACTAAGGCCCGCAGACCAATTGTGTGCCTTGATAGCACAAAGTACCATTGAGACCATAAACATAAGTTCACAGTGTAATCCAGCCAACTTCAGCTTCACCAATATTGCCCCAGGGAACTTCTGGAATGTATTTATATGCTGACATTTGTTTTTGATTTTTATCAACAACTCTGATGTAGTGGGCCCGTGAGGGTAGGTTTGGAGTGGACACATAAGCAAAAAGTCTCATACTCACATTCAAAGTAAAAATCTAGGTATCTCTTTAAGTATTGATCCTTTAATAAATACCATGTGTTGACCCAATGATGAAGTCAATATTTGCTTAAATGAATATATAATTAGCATTTTTGCTTTGGAAGCCATGCTTTACCCATTGTAATTGAAGCCAGAGTTTCTCTTTGGTGTTTCAGCGAGTGTTACCAGTCAGTGATGGAGGAGGGTCTGTCCTGAAGCACAGAGATGGACAAGGTGTTCACAGAGTCTCTCACAGCTGAGATCACAACTGCACCGCTCCCCGACTGTAAGACAAACAACAAAGCAGGAGGTGAAAATGATGTAACACCTCTGGGTGCAACCAATTTACAACCCTGACTGCAAAGTGTACCGTCAGACTGAAATAGTTGGACATTTCACAAAGAGCAACTTGTTGAAACCAGTTTAATTACAAGGACTGTAACAATACATCTCATGTCAAATTGGTTACAATATTGTCAACAAAAAGTGAATACGAGCTTGATTTTGTTGTTCAACTATAGTTGATTGAATAACTAACAAACAGCGTTAATGTTATTTGAGGTACTCCAATGGTCCAATCTTCACAGAAAGATGAAAACCAACTAATTCAATTGACCACATTTTATCTATAAAGTTACATGACATGACGTGTTCATGTGTTTGGTGGTTTATTACTTTGTTGCCCCAAGTGAACCAGAATGGATCCAGTAAACGTGAACCAGACCAACAAATATTTAGAGTAGCCTTGATAGCAGCAAATTAACATTTAAGACACGTCTGAAAAATGTTAAAACCGTCCAAAAAAGAACCTCAAAAGTATGTATTATTCTGTTATGGACATATAGTGTATTTCATATGTAGAAACATCTAGCACATGATATAAGACTAAAACCAAAATGTGCCTTATTTATTACTATCTACAAGAAAACAACATGTTTCTAGCCCAATACAACCCCACAGACAGCTCCTTACTCTGCTTTAAGTCACTTTTATGGCTTTGTTTGCCTCGGTGGAGCTCTTTTCGCCGCAGGCCACAGTATTTGCAGTCTGGCCCAAAACCAGTTAGCGCTCTGAAAATCTACTTTTGTGTAACACGTCTTTTACCATGGTTACACTGTCCAATATAATTACAGTTATAATTATAGCCGCCAGCCTCATCACCTAGCGCGCAGTGTGAATTTGCTGATAATTATTGGTGCAGGGAGGAGAGGGACATAAAAGATGCTTGGATTTTAATGTTTGTAATGGGTGATTGATGAGTGCTAATTGAGGGAAGCACCTGCAGTTTGGAGACAGGGTCAGGTATAATGAATATGAGAGCTTGAATCGCATAAACAGCCAGGTAAATAGGTTGAGTTTATGTTTCAGAATTCAATTTCCGTTGGAGGAAGGTGCCAATAAAACTTTTGAAAGAAATTATGTCACTATGTTGATTGTGATTAGAGTCTCAAACGACTAAATCTTTTTTTAAACATCATCTCCAAATATTGACTATTTTTTCAGACAGAAAAAATAACCACAACTTAATGAAGGAGTCAATTGCTTGTTTGATGGGTGAAAGTAATTCTAATTCATTATCCAACTGCTCAAGATAATTGTAATAATATGAGCCGGGATTTTGCAAGAAAGGTCATTCATATTATAATAAATCCAAATACATGTAATATTAAACACTGTACTTCAGCTGCCATTCTAGTTTGCAGAAATGAGTACTCAGCAGACTCCATGCTGAGGTGATGAATTACACATGAAACGCCTCAGTGTTTTGGGGAGAGTGTGAGATTTACAGGCTCACAGAGTGCATGCTTTTATTACGGTTATGGAGGCAAGTAAACACCCTTCTCAGAATATGGCACTAACTAGGAAGAGGACCATGGGAAAGCTCTTGAGACAAAAATGTTCAATGGCACTTCAAAACGAGCTGCAACAATCTTCACAGACTTGGACTCAGTCATTTGTCCTCTGCATTTAACCCATCTTTACAATCCGCAGGAAGAACCCACTGGAATCTACTGATATTGATAAAGATTTCACACCATCCAGAAAAGTCAAGTAAGGAAATAGGTTTATTAGATACTGTACGGACACATGATTGAACAGCAACATCTTTATTAAGATTTAAAAGGGCGTTTCCCAGGGGAAATCCGGGACTCTGAGATTTTAGAAACAAGATGCGGGGAATATAACAAGGTCTTTCCAACCTTGAAATGTAAGGGG